GGCGTTGTAGGCGGGTGTGGGAAGCGTTCCCCGTTCTCCTTTTATTTTATTTTGATCGGTCTCCTCGACGCTCTTTCTCGTTTGGTGCGGTAGCTGGTCTTTCTTTCTATCATTTTGTTTCTCTTCCGAGTGGTTTTTGTACCCTATTTTTTTCTGTTTCTTCGTGGGGTCGTGTATGCCGGGTTTTGAGACCACGGGCTCCCAATCTTTTTTTTTTGAGAGCTAATGTGAGAAACAACAACAACAACAAACCCACCGAATTACAGGAGTGGAATTGGGTTCTCATGTCGTGCTTGATTGACCAGCGAACACAAAAAAAATGAATTTTTGCACGCCACTGCCCGACCGATGGAAAAACGTTAGACAACCATATTGTAGCGGGGACCAAACCACGAGAGCCCCCTAAATGAGGAAAGAGAGAGAGTGTGAACTCCGAGCACCCCTACGCTTTTGGCCGACAGACCACCAGACCACTCCCAGCAGACGTCCAGAGCAGCGACCCATCAGGCCTTCAAAATCACGAATGTACTACTGCCTGTGCCTCAACAATTATTTTCACAATCCCCAGAGAGAGATGAAGTCATGAATAGGCACGAAGGAGAACCAGCAGCCTAGCCTCACGGTCTAACCGTGGCTTGACGTGCTAACTTTGGTAGAGATGGGTGTGTACGTGTGTACCCCGGAAACGTGTGATCGATGACGTTTGTTGCGGTTGCCTCCTGATACTCCCTCTGTCCGAGAATATAAGCAAGGTTTGGACAAAAAGCAATAGAACTCGTGTCTGCCGAACTCTTTTTCCGAACGGTTTTTTTTTCTGGTTCCGCCGCACTGGCGCGCAGCGCGCAGAACCGCTGCTCTTTTCACACCACCTCAACAAAGTGTGTTGCACCCCAGCACAACACGCCCGATTTCACCACCCCAACTTTGGAGCCCCGGTCAAACGCCTTCCCGTCTGCTGGCGGGACATGTCTGCTGCTGGGAGTGCCTCCCAGGGGCTCAAACGCAAGAATTTCAACGTTTCGGAGAGAGAAGAGGTGGTACGCTACCTTCTCGCCGACAGCGAAGACGGGGTTCGGCAGCATGGTTCGTACCACAGAGCCGCGGAGAAGTACGGGTGCCATTGGGAGACCATAAAGAGGATTTGGCAGAAGCACGAGAAGCGGGAGGAATCTGGAGATCCTAGTTTGTACATTGGGAACGACCGCAAGGGCCATTCCGGCTGCAAGGGCATCGATATTGAGAACCTACGTGCCCGCCTCCTCAAAATTCCGCCTTTTCCCGGACCAGGGGATGGTAACGCACCATCCCCCCCCCATCGAGCGGATTTTTTTTTTTCTCTCTCCAATGTCATATGTGATCGTTTGCCAAAGTTGTCCGACGTCCACCGTGCCCAAATGGCACGTTTCCGTCAATATTCTTCAAACCTTGCTTATAATCCCGGATTTCCAAACCTTGCTTATATTCTCGGACAGAGGGAGTATTTCGAAAATTCAAATCTGGATGTTTGTGCGACTCTCTCGACAGCAAGCGGTCGGTATGCAGGGGACACAAGCAGTGTCACCAGCGGTTGGCAACGCCGCATTAACCGCTACTCACCTTAATCTATCGTGCTTCCTCTCTCGTGGGAGATGTTGTGTTGCGGTCCGCTCTCAGAGGCCCGCGCTCTCAGCAGCTCTCACTTGCTTGGCAGCCAGGCACATCCGCATCATCGAAAGCAAGCTGATAGGGGGGGCACATAGAAAGTTTTTCGAATGTTTCCCAGGAGGGTGGGGCGTGCGTGGTGGTGGTCTGTATCTCGGTGGCGAAGCCCCCCGATCCATCCACAGATCCTCACACCCGGCACTTGTGCGTGCATCTGGCCATGTCATAGCGCAACCATCTGCCTGAGCAAGCAAGTCATGACCCCTTGTTTTTTCTACCCTCCCATCCCAAGAGCTGGTAGCAGAATCGTACCCACATTTTCAGCGAAAGAGTTGGTGGGGTTGCTCTTGCTGCTACGTTCCACTTGTAGTACAACGACGTTGCACCTCCCTCCGAAACACGGCAGCGGCGGTACGCTGGCGATGATGATGCGGGCTATGCATACCTCGTCCCGTGCCCCTGCACTCTTCGCTCGGGGGTTCGGGCTAGACCAATATCCCGCCTGCTGCGGCGGCAGCCATTTCCTGTTTGGCAGCAGCGAGAGCTCCATCAGCAGACGCAATACAAGTAGCAGGAGAAGGCAACACCTCCACAGCAGCTGCAGCCACAGCAGCAGCAGCCACAGCAGCAGCCGCAGCTGCAGCAGCAGTAATAGCAGCAGCAACAGAAGGACGAGAACCACGCCTGTGCTCGGGGCTCTGATGTCAACACGCGCAGAGGGGGCGTCGGAAGACGTAGCAGCGTTGGGGTCGAGGAAGGAAGGGAGCAGACCAGTCGAGGGCATGGTGCGGTCGATCTCCCCGTCCGCTGCTGCCGCCTTCCAACAGTGTCCCCAGCTCTTCTACTACAGGTAGGGAAATACGGAGGCTACAGGGCAAGCAATCTATTGTACACCGCGTAACAGATCTGCTGCTGCTGCTGCTGTACTGCAGGGTGTTGATGGGTTTGACCGCAGCCGGCGTGCCTTGCTTGATACTCGCTCTACACCTTGTATGCTCCAAAGGTACAGCGGTACATGCGGCGGTATGATCTATACGTACAATGGGGCAGGGTAAGCATGTTCTTGCCGTATGGCACTGCTGTACACCGCCGGGAGGATGTGTTAGGTTGGAGGGGCTATCCCCATTGTAGACGAAAGTAGTTAGCTGATTTCTGCGGTGCATTTTTTAGGTAGGTCGGAGCGGCTCTGAATACTTGGGTCTACGGGATAGGTAGCCCCCTGCTCAGCCGAACAAGACCTGCAGGGTGTTGGTGGTGATGGCAGCAGCCGCGTGCCATGCTTGTACGCTCCAGAGGATATGCAGTGGTATGCCATGCATATCACATGTACTTCGTATTGTAGACATGACGGAGGGATTCTCCCCGATATTTTTGTCTACCTTTAGACTATAGATGTTTTTGTACTTCGCACCAGCTGGTATCACTGATATAAATCATCAGTGTATAGTCTTGAATAGACTCGAAAAAAGTCCAGTACCCAGCCGGTTTTCCTCCACTCACTGTAAAGACTCCGCCAGATCCCGTTCCAAGGTGGGTATATCGCGAACGGGTAGTCTTTCTGTGTGTGTATCTATTTTTCCTATTATAATACCTGATACCTGATATTTCATCTCAAAGTCACCTGCTGGTGGTGTCCTGAGTGTGCATAGGCCTCGAGCCGGAAGACTGAGACCTGTATAGAGCGTGCGGTTTCCGCGGTTTGTGCGCGGTCGTGTTTCGTCTGTCGTATCTACAGAAAGCCTACCTACCTGCCCTTGGAGAGCAGCCAAGTCAACCCCCCAAGTGTCCCCGATGCACGTATCATTCGCTCGCGCCCGGCAACAGGTACATCCTGGGCTTGAAGAGCCCGCCCACACGGGAAACCCTCAAGGGCATCGCTGTCCACGAGGTGTGTATATGTAGTACATCGTACTAGACGTGGTGTCAGCATGCCTATCATTTAGCCACTGCCGCAAGCGTCGGCAATCAATAATTGTTTCGTGTGCCTATTCTACATGTGTATTACAAACATGCAACTTTCGAGGGGAGTAGTACTCGCTTCGCCGCCAGGCTGGGCCTTCAATATGTGTGTGTCCTTGGCAAATACGTAGCGTACCCGCCAAGTAGTTCGGCATCGCATTTCCCGACAAGACGCTGCAGGAGAGTTGTGCCAGTCAGTGCCCTGAATCCAGATTTACCTATTATAGGGCTTCAAACCCTCGTCTTCTCGACGTCGTTCCTCGATGAACGGGGTCGGTTGTGGTAGGCAAAGGTTTGAGTCCAAGCGCTGAGAAAGACGCTCCGTACCAAGCCTCGCGTGCGAGCCGATTTTTGACAGCCCTGGCTTACGTCTGACCAGTTTTTGGCTGCGAACGGTATCGGGTCTTTCTCATGTGTACTCCGAAACAGCAGATGGCTCTACGTAGGTGCTACTGCTGTAGCTGGGTAGTGGTACATGACCGCGCTTTTGAGGCGGGGGTAGAATGAGAATTCGCTGCGTTGTTCCCCATGAACGTGTGTGGAAACGTTTCGTGTTTGATGCTGCAGGCGCCCGCCAGGGTTTCCTCAAGCATGGCGGAGGCGGTAGTATTTAGGTCAAGTGCGTTGACACAGAGTTATCTCGCGGGGACGGATTCCACGTCTCCGCCCGTCCCTGATTCTCTCTCTCTCTCTCTCTCTCTCTCTCTCTCTCTCTCGCTCTCTCTCTCTCGCTCTCGCTCTCCCTGTCTCTGTCTTTGTCTCTCGCTGTCTCCTCGTCCGTGTTTCTTTTGCTTAGGTGCTATCGCTATTTTTCACGCTAGAGGAGGGGTCTAGAGACATTGGTCACCTGCACGAGCTTTTCCGAAAAGTCATGATCGGATTAATCGCACAGGACAAGGAGGTGCAGTAAGGTGTTAGGAACGTGGAACATCGACAGCTCGTAGGACGCTGCACTACCGTATGCATAGTTGGGCCGCCTTTTTTTGCCACGTGTGTTTTTTTGGGGGGTTGTGACACAGGGGAAAGGAATGGTAGCGAAGCTTGGTGATTTTGAGGGCAAAATCGACCCGCGGGACTCGTCTACGGATACTTGTTGCGCGTGGGGGTAATTTTTCCCTTGTTTGTGCTGGACACACCATCTCGAGGCTGTATACACGAACCTCGGGGTGCTGTAGTCTTGGCACCGGTTTTCCTGCAGCAGTTGACCCCACCCCCCCGTTATGCGTGCAAGAGAGGAGATGTAGTGGGAGTCAAGATCCGCGCCAGAAGCGACTTCTTGCCCTCCATCGCGCGTGGTGCAAACGAATGTCACCCTGATCTTTCCAAACCTCGATCTTAGATTCGAAGAGATGTCAGCAGCCAGTGTCCACGCACGCACCGCAACATGACAAGTCGATCGAAAAGAAAACAAAAAAAGTCGAACTAAAAAACAACTAAAATCGAATTTTCTGCATTATTTTGTTGCCTGAAGTCATTTTTCGTCTAATGATTAGCCCCCGTACCTCCTTCCTTTCGCTGATTTCGACGGGAAAAAAAAAGGATCCCTCCCGCGGCTACGGCAAGCTTTTCGAGAACCAGGAGGAAGAGAAGAAGTGGGTGGTTGAGTGCCTCGACCTTGTGGCGAACTTCGCGAGTGTGGAGAGCGATGCCAGGAACGAAGGGGAAGGAGACCCGGAGCACGTGGAGCTGAGGATGACGTGAGCCGNGGGGGGGGGGGGGGGGGGGGGGGGGGGGGGGGGGGGGGGGGGGGGGGGGGGGGGGGGGGGGGAGTGCCCTACGTTTGGCTCTCATCCTTCCTAATTTTTGCGTTGTGGTGTTGGACGATTCGTGTGGGGAGAGGGGGAATGTCCTAGTTTGGCTCTTATCCCTCGTCCTTTTCGTGAGTTGTGCTGTCGCGCGGTTCATGTGGGGAGGGGGAGCGGAGGTGCGGGTGTCCTAAAATTTGCTCTGAACCGCCCTTCTCCTTTGTTGTGTTTTGCCGTTGCGCGTTCAATGTACAGTTTGAGGTGTCGCTCACCTTGCGCGTAGTCAGGTTAAGGCACAAGTGAGGTCGGGCTATTTTCAATCCCCTAAAATGAGTCGTTTCACGCTCAAGAAGTGGTTTTAACCCGTAATTCTTTTTGTTTCTCGCGGCATACCGAAGTGATCCAGCCAGCCGTAAGGTTTCGGGGTCACGATATAGGAGGTGCCTTGGAGAACGATTTCCGAGCTCCACGCCGGTCTGCATGTTTTCTTCTGCGCGATAGGAGTATAAAACATGGCAACGATCAAGCCGCAGCCCTGTTTTTTCCGTGGCACCAACTGCCAAACGCCGCCCCGCACGGCCTGGCCGAAAAATGAACACGCCAGGCACGAGTTCGGAGGAGGTGAGACGGCAGCCGGTCGGCATATCGAGGAGGAGGACGGGGCGGGAGGACAAGCCGGTGATGGTGTTGCGGCAAGCAATACGGCATCTTCCATGAACGTAACGGGGATCGTGGATCGATTGGATAGGTGCGTGTTGGTGTGTGTATGTTTTTTGTTAGCATCGACCGCGCTACATAACCGGCTGACCAATGAAAAGACGTCGGTTCCAGATGGTGTAGTCAAGGTCCTTGGAACGGAGAAAATGCTTTCCAAGAAAAACACGAATCGCGCTGAAAGCGAATGCCACGTATACACCTCTCTACAAATCCTTTATAGAGACACAAGCGCCAAACCTTTTCATGTACCCTCTCCCGCAAACCTAGCTGGCCACTGATGTAAAGATCGGAGGACAAAAGTAGTTGTTTTTCGAGCCCAGTCTCAGATGCAAGACTGTATACAGATTTATATTTTGTTCTTTTTGGTTCGTTCAAGTTCACCGGGCTCTTCGAGTAGTGAAATACGTCAGCGTTGTGACCTGCTGAGCTCGGGAAACTTCACCACATCTGGCAGCAGCTGACAGCCAGCCAGCGGCTGTGGTCCTGGTGGCCTGCGTTTTGTTGTCATCTTGCAGCACCCCTTGATGACAATCCGGAGGAAATCACCCGTATCGTCTTCACACATACATACGCCTCCAAAATCTTGTGCTCTCTCGCGCAAACCTAAAAAGGGAGCCACCCACGCAAAGAGCGGAGGGTAGCCAAAACATCAACTTTCGAGTCAAGCCTAAGACGTACCGTCAGATGTACCGTCGACATGCATACGCCTCCCAAATCTTTTAGGTGCCCCGACGGAACGCTGCGAGTGGTGGACTACAAGACGGGGAAGATTCCCAACCTTAGGTACTCCAAGGCGACCAACCAGAGGATAATGGACGAGAAATTTTTCCAGCTGCAGGTGGGAATATAGAATTTCCGTATGCGTGTGTTTGTGGAGCGGGCAAGCGGGAAATGGTGAGGAGATAATGCGAAGCCTGTCATACCTTATGATTATGGTAACTTCCGTATGGTGCACGTGGTCCATCATCGCTCTAGCCTGGTTGGCGACCATGTAACCTCGCTGCCGCTGCTTTTTGGGTGTTGCTGAACTTCGATTCAGCATCAGAATCTGGGTTGTGCAAAGCAACGTGAAAAACGACACAAACTCTTGGCTACCTTTCCTACGTAAAACCTTGCTCGGGTCCTCTTTATTGGGTGTGCAGTTTTTCTTTTTTTTTGGGTGCAGCTTTCAACGTCAGATAACACTGATTTGTTGTCCCTGAAGCTGTTGATGCTTACTAGGAGAACAACATACCACGAAACGGTTCCGCCCTCCCCCCCCCCCCCCCCCCCCCCCCCCCCCCCCCCCCCCCCCCCCCCCCCCCCCCCCCCCCCCCCCCCCCCCCCCCCCCCCCCCCCCCCCCCCTCTCTCGCCCTGCCCATGCGTCACCCCCCCACCCTCCCACCGACCGTCCTACACACTGTTCTAGATATACGCCCTTTTGGTGGAACGCGTTTTGGGAGAAGTACCTGGAGAAATGCGGCTGGTGTACCTCAAAGGACCCGCAAGGTCAGGAGCTCTCCTCTTTTTCCGAACGGATTTTTAGTGTGTGCTTGTTGGGTGTTTGGGCCTGACGTTGTGGAGATGTCGTTCGGGTGTGGCTCTATTTGTTGTTCAGACGGTTTTATGCAACCATTCCCCTGGGGGTTCTCTGAAAGGAGGACTTGCACGTGCCGGGGAGGCGGAAATTTTTTTGTTCATTTTTTTTTTTTTGCCTGCAGTAGTAGGGCAGGGGATGAAGATGATTCGACAGACAGGGCAGTTTCCACGGCAGCAGTCCGATGGCCGCATCGTACGTGCTTTCAAGCCCCCCTCCGCCCCTTGTTGCTCGTGCACTCGCTGAAGAAGCCGTTCCTGCGTCTGTCTGGTGTGCTCGCAGTGTCACCCGCAAGATCGAGCCTGCCGCCCTGCCCTCGGTGGAGGGTGAGCTCAGATCCATCTGGGACGAGATCGCGGGGTCGGTGCGGCGAGATAGCTTCCCCCCTCGCACCAGCAGGTTGTGCGACTGGTGCAGCTTCCAGGACCGATGCCCGGCGTTCGAAGAGCGATAACGACTTAGAGGGGGGTGGGGCACCCTCCAACTTGTTGCTACGATAGCTGCAACAGCAGGAACAGCTTTTGAGATGGTTGGCCAACTGTCTGTGGTTTTTGGAGAAGAAGCTCCGAATTTTAGGGTCAGCGGCATGGCCGGAGGGGGGCGCCACTGCAGGGCTTCGATTTCGTGCAATACGCAGGATCGGTGTCTCGCGTTCGAGAATGTTAGTGGGAATACAAGGCCCGCGGTTGTCGAAAGAGGGGCGTGGCGCGGTGTAAGCCCCGTGAATGGAATTTGTGCGTTCCTGCCACATGTTTAACTAATAAATGAAGAAAAATGGTTAGGGCGCGGTCGGAAAACAACCACCGCACCTCGTGCCTTGCTTGTCCCGATTCATCAATGGGCAANCCCCAACACACCCGGGGCGTTTTTGCCCCGCCACATCTACCAAACTTGGCCAACCAGCATCACGTGTGCTTGCTTTTCTTCTTTGCCTTGTCTCATTCGTTGAGATTCGCTTGGCTCTTATTCGAATCAACAACACTTGAGCTGTGTTGGCTGTTGAGCTTGGGAAAAGTTATAACTGGCAGCCGGCTGGGGGCTGGTCCTGCTGCTTGCGTGTTTTTTATTTATTTTTCATCTTTCGTTTACCCCTTTGATGGTGGCGCTACTTCTGTCTCCAAGGGATGGATCCCTTTTGATACGTTAGTCGTACGTACTTTTTTTTTTATTGTCTCCCATCATTGGACTCTGTCGTCTGCCCCTCTGGCCCCTATCCTCCACTTCTACCAGCTAGACGACTCAACCGGGGCCACACAGGAGGGGGGGGTTGGAACCCCTCCTGCGGTTCCTGCCTGAGATATTTTTATCGCGAGAAAGGTACAGCAATCCCTTCCCTCGCGACTTATGAAGTCGATCAAGTTTACCAACACAACGAGCTGCAGAGAGATGACGGGGTGGACAGTGATGTGCAGATAAGTAACAACGTATCTAACAACCCGAAGTGCCCCCGCCGTCCCTGCTCCGCCCCCTACACTACAGCAGCAGCGGTAGGCTGCTTAGTACTTAGTCACTTCGCGTAAGACCCCCACCGAAAGCAATCGGAATTTCGTGGCACCAGTGGCGTAAAAAAGTATTGAAGGACCGGTCGCTGTACCGTAGGTTGCGTAAGACATCACACCCCCTCCGGGACAGACTTCCAAAGCTCGATTTTGCTCCACGATGAAGAAGACAAGCACGACATGCAATTAATATGGAAGTACTTTTCGGACAAGGCTCCAGACGAGACGGTTCCAAGGAGACCATTTCCGGCGCCGTCACTACAGCAAGCAGTACACTGGTGTTCTTTCTCCGCAGTACATGGAGGTTTCAGAGTCGGTGGTCCAGGAGGCGTGATGGCATGATGGTGTCCCACGTCTCTCACGGAAAACCACGGAAGGTACGCAGCGAGAACCGCTTGGGACACTGCTGTGGACTGCTGTGGACACACGAAAGAAACAGCACACATTATTGTTTTTCAAAACGTGCATCCGTCCGTTCCCCTCTACGTGAAAAACTATAGTGCATACATCCAGATAAACGTGTGGAGGGCATTCAATTCAACAGCAAAATGTCGTGCTCTGAGCATAATCTTCACAGGTCCAGGCGGGCATGCGCATTGTTGTGCTCGTCGATGGGAGCGCGCATTTGATGTGTCAGTTCGGCCTCTGTTTGGCGGACCATACTTGTACAGGTCCAATATGGTATGCTGCGAATATCTTTAGATTGTTGCCAAGGAGCATGCGCGCGGCACACATTACAACCTGCTTCCATCGTTTTGGTAAGCTACCTCATGTGCAGCGGGCACGCAATTAGAAGAACACTATCCCCTGCTCTCGTCAGTAGCGCAAGAGGAGAGGTTGGGTAAGACAGGGGAGGCAGGGGGGGGCGCGAAGGTACGCGGAGTGGCACACAAATGAACAAGGGCGGAGAGAGTTAGACGGAGAGGGAAAGGTCCCAAAATTCTCAACCAATCAACGACCAACAAGGGGTGTAGGAGCGTCGCGGAGCAGGCGGGAGGTTGGCCTCGCGGCGATGTCCATATTAACTCACGCAACGAAAGATAAAGCTTCTCGCGAGAGAGACCACGGGAGCAACCGGATCGGGGAGGAAACTGCTGCCAGCGCTACCAGCGGTCTGTTTGTCTTGGGAAGGTTCTTGCGTGAGCGGGGTAGAGCTTCGGGGGCGGTTGTGCTTTTTGGCTGAGGTGCCCCAAGGCGGGTATAATTCAGATTTCACCTGGCGCATCATCGAAGAGGCGCAGATACATGTCGGAGATTCAGCAGCAAGGGCGTGGGAAGGGTGGGAGGGAGGAGCAGCGCAAGGCATCCGGGGTGGGAGGCATGGAAGACGACGGTGGCGGCGGCGATGGCGATGGCGGTGCCGTGGCTGTTGGCGCTACTGGGAGAGCGCCCGCACATGAGCACCCAGCAGCTGAGACCCGTAAACTACCGCCTGCTGCGGCTGCTGCTACAACCACTCCGAAGCGAGCCACGAGAGCATCCACAGGAGCGCCGATAGCACTGACGGCAAAGGGGAGCCTCTACAAGGCGAACAAGGACACCGGTGAGTGCTTGTTGCTGTGACGCCGTGTGGGTTTTGAAAGCATCGAACCACGAAGAGCGAGGTGCAGCTGCTGCTGCTGCCCGTGTGTAGTTGTATGCGTGCGCATGCGCACAATATGGCAGGGGTACATACATACATGCACAGGTTTGTTACTGTGAGACGGAGAGAGAGAGCCAACCCGATTCCCGCTTGCTTCTACCACGACACCGCTTCTTGGGAGATCCTCTCCCCTCTCTGCTCTGTTTCGAGCAACAGCGATAACAAGGTGATGGTTTTTAGTGCCGCGGATTCACCCGCTCGCTCCCAACAGCATGTCATTCATGTTTTTTTTCAATATTTTTTGAGTTGTTTGCCCGCTGCCGTCCAAAAGTCAATCGTTTTCGCATTTTCGCGGACACCCGAACGTACCGTATGCACTGCTGTCTACGATACAGCAGCATGCTCTGCATGTGCACAAACTTTTATCAGCACGTGTGCATACGCGTATGGTTCGTCTACTACGAACACCATGCACGATGGACACGCTCCACAAAACATTCCCCGGTGTCGTGGGTGTGTGTTAGCATAGCTCGTTGGAGCCTTGGTTGCAGCACAGTGCACTGCTGTATTTTGCGGTACAGCTTGGTACAGCAGTATTGCTCCCAGTCCAATGTCCAAAGTTTCAAATCGCTGCGCACGCAGCACGCAGGTTCCCCGATTCCCCGGATTTACCCACGTGCATGTTGCTCATCATACCGGTTGCGTAATATATCACACCTGCTGGCCTGACGGGCTTGCAAAGCTCGATCGAATGTTGTACTACAGACTAGAGGTCCCTGTTTGTTGTTGTTGTTGTTGTTGTTGTTGTTGTTGTTGGTGTCTGCACATTAAACCTTATGTCCCTGTTCAAGGCCAGTGCCATGGCATTCTTGCCAACGAAATATTGGACATTTATTCGGTGCATCCTTTCCGATATTCATGTGGAGGGTGTAAGTCAGGTTGTGCAAGTGTGCAGTACGTGCGCTGAGGTGGGTACAGCATCAAGGTGCAGCATGTGTGTCCCGTCCAGTTAACGTGTCAAGCAAAATATGTGTGTTCGACAGGGCAGGAACCACCCCTATCGTGGCACAGCAGTCTGCCCGCGACGCCCATGCCATGATCTGACCATGTTTGTTTCATGTGGTACTCGCAACGCAAAGCGCTGCACTCTGAAATCACACGGTTCGTCAATAGTGCCGGTCTGGCACTATTGAGGGATTTTCAGACCCTGAATAGTGCCCCTTTGGCACTATTCCGGCACTCTGAAGAATAGTGCCTGTGCCCGGTGTAGTGCCGGTGAAATTTTTGCGCACACCCCGGCACTAAATAGGGACCTCTACTGTACTCTGCAGCGAAATCAGTGACGGTGCCGAAAACGGTTCCGAAAACGGTGGCGTTTGATTGAGCCTACTTGTACAGCAGCAACATTCCGAAAGCGTTCATGTTGTTGTTGTTGTTGTTTCTCACAGTAGCTCTTAGTCCACGAAAAATGGGGAGCCCGTGGTCTCAAAACCCGGCACATACGACGCCGCGGGGAAAAACAACAAAAACAGGGTACAAACCACTCGGGAAAAGAAACAAAATGATAGAAAAGAACAGGTAGCGCACCGACCGTTCGAGAAAGGAGTGCTCGGAAACCGATCAAAATAAAAATGTGCACATGTTCCGTTATCCACGAGTCGGCAAGACTGCTGTCGTTTCCTGATTTTGGTGTGGGTCAATGTACACGATATCTGTGCATACGATAGTCCTCTTGGTTGAGCTGAGCTCTCAGAAATTCGTCCCACAGGGATGTGCGGAATCCAACCTAGTACATGTTTGCATCCATACGGTACACGCATTTTTTTTTCCTTCTTTCTTGGTGTTTCATGTCGCGACTGACTGCTGTAGTAGTACATGTGTCCATCCTCGTAGTTTCGTGTCGTGTTTCTAAATAGTACACCAAGCAAGGCAGTTATTTTGCTAGAACTTTGCGGAAACTCATGTATTTGGGGGCATAGATGCACCTACATGTTATTTGCGCATGTATAACAGTATCGGGGCACCTTGCGTCGGGCGATGTTTTTGGTGGCGAGTATCCTCGAAAAACGTGAAGCCTGTTCTACAGTACAAAGCGGTTTCCATTTTTGATACTCCGGAGGTTGCAAAGTCTGTCGGCCATGCATCCGACACTTGTCTTTTCAAAATACTGTCTGGTGGTCTGGTGCAGATCGATAGGTATGCCGTCGTTAGAATACAGACCATCTACGTATATGTATCTGGACCTACTTCTTGACAGCGAAAGACAAGGGGTTCGTCGATTCCGGGGTGGGCCGCGAAGGCACTTTCTCTTGGCAGACAGCAGCAGCAGCAGCAGCAGCAGCAGCAGCAGCAGCAGCGATGCACGCATGTTTCATTGTTTGTGACGCTCTCTGCGCTGTTGCGGCATGTCAGCAGGTATGTACTGCTGCTGTGCCTTGCAAGGAAAATCACCGCCTGCTCCGCGCCCCCCTCCCGTTGATGCGTACCTGTTGCGAGCGGGCTGTATGACTATTACACGCTCGAAGTGCATGATAAATTGATAATTTGATAACTTTAGCCCGGACGACAAGGGTACTGTAGAATAGGTGGCGACGAGCATTAGGTGTTTGCATAGTGTAAATAGTTTCGGTTGAACAACCCGGTGGTTTGCTTGTCCTTTGGAAGCCCGCGACCATGCAAGAAGGACTGGGCTTAGGTCACCACAGCAACGTTAGTAGCAGCAGCAGCAGCAGCAGCAGCAGTAGCAACATGCGTTTTCGCGGATCCTCCAGTTGACAGTTGGCTTTCTTCCGTTCGACCGTGTTGCGTACACCACATACACACGTACACACGTACATCTTTTTTCTTGCCCGCTACCCTACATGCAGTCCTAAGAACAGAGGCGGCATGGCACAGGGCAGGGCGGGGACCACACACAAGTACTAGGACTGGGAGAACGCCTCCGCTAACGACCCGATGGTCATGTGTAGACGCGCGTCTTCACTCCTTTTTTTTTTTGGCCCTTGTTACGTCGCCGTCGTCGTCCCGAAACCGATTTCTCTACATGTTGCAGGCGCCTCGCCGGAGGAAGAAGGAGGCGACGGCGGCGGCGGTGGCGGCGGCGGCGGGCGCTACTCCAACAACAACAACAACAACAACAACGCCCGCCGGATGCACGGGCGAGTAGCCGCCGCCCCCCTCGCCCCCCCATCCTCGTCTCGCATGGCCTTCTCCAACAACGCCAAGACCGGCGGCCTCGCAATATCACCGCCAACGCTACCACGGAGGACGCCGGCGGGCGCATCTTCTCCGGCGGCGGCGGCAGCGGCGCGCGCTCTCGCTTCGGAGGCATTCGGAAGGTCGTACGGGCCACCATCCGATGATTTCGCGGGAGGCCCCGCCGCGGCGGCGGAGGTGGCGGCGGCGGGGATGACAGTCTCGAGGGCTCCGGTCTCCAGGTCGGCCGCGAACGCCGGCACCGGGGCGGGGCGCAGGGTTAGCGATGGTGGCGGGGGTACTGGCAGAGG